GGGAGTGCTTTATAAAAAGAGGTTTTATATAGGACCTGTGTATTTTGCAAATAAAACTGTAGCACATTAAATTCTAATCACATCCTATTCATAGCATCTGAAATCAGAGTATAAATTTGCTTCCTACGGGTAATTATCTAGACTGGAGTTTTAATCTCGTACGTATGCCATTACCCCTATGCAAACATGGATAAACTTCGGCTTTTTCTTTTCAGCAGCATTCAGCTATTTTGACATTTTAAGTGGTTATGAGTTGGTTTTAAATATAGAGAGCCCAAAGAAATCAGATTATATGTTAAGCAGTAGTACTCGAACTGAGAAAGAAAAGAATACAACATTGTAGAATAACCTCTTTGCTTGGGAAATAATGCTCAAATTCCAGAAGGAAAAAGCGTTAATCACATCAGCTTTCTAAATATAATTTCTGTAAGTTTCTATAAAAGTCAATGCCGCTTTAAGTACATCTATCAGGCCGCTCTTAAGCTACACCAGAAATGAATGCAAGTATTTCTAAATAGGAAAAATTCCCTGGTAGAAAATTTCCCATTATTATTAAATTGTTAGTTATGTTAAAAACAGCACTTTAGTCTTCCATCAGTGACAAAATATAAACAGGACAGTAGAGTTCTAGTCAGATACACAAAGATCTACTTTGAAAGGGTTGAAGACAACAAGTTACAGGGGATTTTGTTTTGCTTTCAGTCAGTTACAGCTCTTGGGCCAGCTCAGAGCAGCGATCCAAGCACGGCACAGGTACACAGCAACAAGGCTTCAGTGCCACTTGCTCTTCCCAGTGACACCTAAATCTTTGGCCTTGGATCAATACATGAAGTAGGGACACTTTCTGAACAGAACTCTCTACTACAACTTGTATGAAAAGGACATGATCATAAAACAGAGATTACAAACCTTCCTTTGTGAAAAAGGAACCATATTCCTAACGTAAATGTTAAAAGGAACAATATGATTTTGACACCTAAATTGCCACCATCACCAAAAAGCAAATATTCTTTTGCCAACTTTTAATATTACTATGATATTTTTCATTCTAAAATTATTACAGAGTTTCGGCCATCACATGCATTATCAGGTGCACTTGCCAGTATTTACTACCACAAGCAAATTAGCTCTGCATTTAAAAAGAAGCTGCTTGATCCAAAAGCCCTTTAGTCCCAGTGAAACCCAAACAGTGCTTTACGGAGCAGGGTTTTTTGGTAAACAGATGCTTAGTGATGCAGATAGATAGCACCAACAATTTTCAAATTCCTCAAAAGAGCACACCTCACATAATTTTTCTAGTGACCTTGTATGTGTCCTTTAAAACTTTTTTTTTTTTTTTAAAAAAAAGTTATTTTGGTTAAAAAGCCTTGTGTGTTTTTGTAACTTCTATGAACTGTCAAAAGAACGATGTATTCAGAGAGAAGATCATGAACTCGTTGCAGGTTCTGGCACTCACAGCAGCTGGGAAAATACCTTCACACTGCTGTTTGTGGGAGAAAGTCAACGTGACCCCACCAAAGATAAGAAGCCGCACGAGTCTAATAACACTTCAAATACATGTTTTAAAAGCACTGGTAATCTAATATACAGGCAGACACAATGTACCTATTGGTATCCACCACATCACAGCAGACTGACCCTAGCAAGGAGCTGAACTTAAGAAACAATTTTTAGCTGCGGAGCCGTTACTGAAATGATTAGTTACAACAGCTCTGAGCACGCAGATCACTTCACCGGCGGGGATCTGTGTAAGATCAGGGCCTGAACACATTTCTTCCCTTCATCTGGCCTCAGCTTCAGGAAAAAACATGCTTCCCCCCGCCCCAGCCCAGTCCCCATGTCAACGGACATTAAGCATATGTTGCCTCACTTTTGGAAGGCGTTGCATGATTTAACTTCATTACTGTTTGTTGAATTGCTTTCAACCAGTTCTCACCTTACAAAAAACCTTTAAGTGCATTAATATGACACATGCTTAAACACCATATGTGAATCGTGTGGATCAGTAGTGGGACGCTACTTACGGAAGGAGACTGGGCACATAGCAGCGGGTCGCCTGCCTTCCCCACACACCCCCCCTGACTGAACTTGTTCCTATCCCTCCAGTCTCCGGAGAGCCCTCGCCTTCCCTGCAGGATAGTGTCTACTCCCTCTCTCCCTGTTTGCTTAATCCTCCAGAATTACCTCTGACCTTTCTGCTCAGCTTGGTGGAACCTAGGCCACAGCAATGCCAAAGGCACCCCTGAATCTTCGACCGCAGCTGCTGCAGCACTTCAAAGGCAGCTACCACAGCTAAGGGCTTAGACTGCAGCTGGAATCTGAAGCTCAAGGTGGGGTCCCCTGGGCTGAGCAAAAAGAGCAAAGCTCATTTGTAAGGATTAAAACATGGACAGGTAATGGATCTAAATGGGGCGGGAAGGGTACGGAAAGGCAGGGAGAGTGGAAGTCAGTATACAATACAGAAAATCTGAGGAGGTTAAGAGGGGCAGCAAAAGGAGGGGCTGGGGGAACAGAAGACAAGAGATTCCTGGTTAGCGTAAATAATATACATGTATGTTAGAAAGGAAGAATGAGAGCAGCTTGGAAATGTAAACAAAAATATCCTCAGAGGAGGTAGGGCTTTGACATAGAAAATGGTGAAAAGATCAACGGGAATAAAACACAAAAGGATGTACAAGTCAAAGACAGCTAGAAAATCAGGCACTGAAAATAAAAGATCGTCATGAGACAGAGACATAAAAATCCATCTGTAAAACAGCTTGGTCTGGGACATGTATCACAGCCTTCATGCTGCAGGACTACCCCAAATGTAAAAGCAAAAATTTTTATTATTCAGGATAATAATGGGCTTTGCATATTAAAAAGCATTTTTTTTTTTCTGAGAAGTAAGATTACTTTTAAGAGAAAAGCACTGTTTGGTTTTTAAGACATATTACTTGGGAAGCAGGACTATGAAGTTGACTCACATGCACTAGAGAGAAAGACGGCTGTAGCCACCCTGCTGAGCCAGGTTGTGCTCAGCTCCTCAGGGAGGGGACAGTTCTCACACATATTTGAACATATGGGATGAGTTCAGGACATAAACACACCAAGAAATATGAGAGTTCAAAAAAAAAAAATCACCACGTGCTTTGGAGTGCATAAACTTGTAAACTTACCAGCTACTTCAGAAAAACTGTTTGAAGAGAAGTTCTCACCTGACGGCAGTGGAAGACAGTTCACCTTTCAGTTACACACAACATCAAGGTAAAGCTATGCCGTGGGGCCAAACTATATAGGACAGGAGCAAGAACACAGATTGTAACACTAGAATAAATAATTTACTGCAAATTCACACCTACCTTAGTGTAGAATAATTTCTCAATATCTGAGCTTGTTTCTTAGAATTTCCCACATTTGAATGATAAAATACTACACTAAGTCATTATCATATTGTTATAAAACTACATGTCAAGCTGCACGTTGAATGGTTTAAAAATTAACTTTGCTTTTCAACGAACTTGGAGTATACCAAAATAATAACAAATAGCACATTTTTGCCATCTGCAAAAATAGTTTAACTATTTTATTGAACTACCAATAGTTCAATAGTTCCAACTATTAAGCACTTGCTTGAACAATTTAATAGGAACACTCACTTAAAGGACCTGTCAGACATTGGAACAGGCTGCCCAGGAGGGTGGTTGAGTCACCATCCCTTACTGTGTTTAAAGGTCGCTTAGTGTGGTGCTTGGAGATATGGTTTAGGGGTGTACTTGGTAGAGCAGGGTTGATGGTTGGACCTGATGATCTCAAAGGTCTTTTCCAACCTGAATGATTCTATGACCTTATCATTTTCACTTGTGATACACAAGCTTCCTCAGCCTCATTGATTTTCTAAATCTCCAGATGTTTTGCTGTACCTTATAAGAAAATACAGTCTAGAGTTAAAACAGGAAAAGATTGCTAGTTTGGAATCAAGTTGGCTTAATTTTTTTTTCTTTCCTTAGCTTCCTATTTAGATGTACCAGCAGAGAACTGCATGTCTAAAAGACACTGCTAGAAAAGGAACAGAGGAGAAATGTGATGATCACAGAGTGGACAGCTTTTTATTTGTCATTTACTCTGAACTAGAAAAGAAGAGTACCAGGCCAAAAGTCATTCAGTTAGTTATTAAAAATGACTGATCCTAATTGGTCTATCAACAGGTTCTAATGCACACTGAATATATCACTCAACATTTACAGCCCAAACTGTTGGCTGAGGTGTATCCATATTCATGAAGACATATGAGCATATCTACTACTGCAAGAAGCAATGCTGACTGCAGCATGTAATAAAACATAGAATGCAATAGAATGTAATAAAAATACACAAAACCCCTAGCATTCTTCAGGGCATCCACAGAGACAACTCGAGACTTCAGAAAAGTAACTATTTTTATATTACGCTTTATTCCAAGCACTGTTTCTTACTGGATACAATTTATACATTTTGTACTATGTATATATATTAATGGAATACTTTCCAAATCCTCCCTAGATAAAATATATTATGGGCTTAAAATTATTCCAGCAATAGCTTTTCCAAGTTACATTTTGCTAAGTGTTAGTTCAGATCACAGGAGAAACAAAAAACAGGAAAAAATTTTAAAATGCTTTGGCAAAACACCCTTCTACGGTGATGTCTTTAAAAGTATTTTGAATGCAGGACTTCTTCATTCATTACGCTCTGGTATCAGTCAAATAGATAGGAGGAAACATATAAACACGGTTATACTGCTTCATTTAAATACAATTTAAGAGAATATAGATCTCAGTTTTTCAAAGTGTGTGGTCTCATGTTTGAATTCTGGCCAGTCAAAAAGCTGCCTGCTGCTTCTCAACGTACAATGGTGCAACGTGTTTTTGAGACCTCTCATTGTATTGTTGCGATGGTCACGGTTAAAGTTCCTGGTAATCCCAGAGCCTGTGTCAGGATAGGAGGACTGCCAGAGGTATCGAAACAGAGGAGCAGCGTGGTCATTGAACTGCACACATTGAGCTTCTAGGAGGATTAACGGTTCTTGTCACAGGCTCCTGACTGTAGTTGACAATATCTGCCTTCACCACCCTCTGTCGTAAAAGAAAACACAGTAACAATCAGAAAATATAATCTTCAGGCCGTAAAGCTTTCAACAGATATTTTGCTATGAAATATGAATGGAAAAAAAAATAGGCAAAACAGACACCGTTTACTTTTTTTTCATTACCTTACAGAAAGTCCTATCAGGTGCTAATTCTCGTTCTAAACACCAGTTTCTCCACACTAAGCAGAAGGAAGTGCCTTGGTAGGTTTTCACAACACTACAAACGGAACATGACTTTTTTTGTAAAAGCAATACTGTTTTACTTCCATGAAAATTGTTTTGCATGGAAATAATAAAACAGTACTTGTTTGCAAAGACTATGGTATGCATTCTTTAAGAACAATTGCCTAAATTGTAATTGGAAATTGTACCTAAGTTTATCTTTCTGTCTTTACTCCAAGCACTTCACAGGAAAATACGGACAGATCTCAACGCAAATTTCAAATACAATCATGTTTCAAAAAAGTTTTGACAGGCAGGCTGACTAAAGACTAAATTAACATAACAAGAACCCTGACATACCACAAATATTTATTTTCTAATACAGATCCAACAGATATTACCCATTCTGTTTACAAAGCATTTGATAAGACTGTTGGTCTTTCTTATATGAGAAGGAAATGAGATTCCAGTTTTGTGTCCATTTCCATCTGAGGCAGCTACATAACATTTTGAATATTCAGCCCTGAAGGACCTTCCTAATACAGTAACATGAAGTATTTCAAAATTTTTATGAACTACCTGGTTATTAGAAACACCTTGTAATTGTACACAGAGTTCCAAATTAATGTGTTAAGTATTACAAGTGCCTACAGATACAAAATACATTTTTCTAACAGGACTTACTGTAACGGTTGTTACTTCATGTAAAAGCAATGCAGCATGAAAAAAAAACCCAAGTTTTCCATCAATACCTGAACTACTGCATTGAGCAGACTTTGCTCTGGCAGTTGGAAGTGTTGTGACGTTGGTTATCTTCTTCAGGATATTTCACTAGTTCTGCCCTGACAACATGCTGTTAATCATGTATCAACATAACGGATAGAGGGCAAGGAGAAGAATGTGAAAAGAAAAGAGAAGGGAAAAAAATGGAGAGACTGATCAGTAGTTGAAAAGAATGAATGAATGACATAAAAAGACTACACAGAAGCAAAACAAAAGTGCATTTCTTTTCAGGCCTTATGCTGACACAAGAGCAACATGTGTAGCTGAAAGCATCACTATGAGCATTCAGGGCTGCTTCTCGAGCTTCTTCAAGGATGTGCCCTTTCAAAGCATACATGCAATCAACAGAAGTGTATTAAAGCAAGAGAAGGAACAGAACAAAAAGGAAGGCAATTCAGTGGAAGAAAAGATGACAAAGGCCTATTCCTTTAAGTCTAAGGTAGTTAATTATTACATTAGTTAGCTTCCTATCAACAACTGTAACAAGTGTATTAGATGTACACGTGCATCTTTCCCATTCCATAACTACCGCTTTATAGCTAAATATATATTCAAAAACAGTGACATAAATTAACAACCTCACATCCAGGTACTGCAAGCTTTGATTTTTCTTTAAAATAAAAGGCTCTCATTTTTCCCCTTAAAGACAAACAAAACTGTTGAATGTTTTCTCACTATTAATACAGTATTCATGCAAAAGGAAGAAAAAATTTACAGAACAATTTCAGCAAAGAAGTAACAGAGGAGGTAGATCTGCTATGAAAGAGACCCTAAACCAGTTTAATAACTTTTTCTTAAATACTTCAACTTTTACACAACATATTTTCAAGGTTAAAATGAATGGAGAATTTAATAAACACTACTATTTTAAAGGAAACAATATATAATCTAGAATATATGACTATAAAAACAGTATATATGTTAAAGATTACGTCTGTAAATAAAACCTATATGTCAAACAAGCAACAATAACTGAATTGGCTGGTAAGGGATCTGGATTTATTAGCTGCTGATGTACTCTTGAGTTTAATCGATCACACTCATATTATCTTATCTATGGACAACACTGATGATTTACTGGACTCCTGGCCTGATGTTATCAAGCGAAAGGTTGCCAAATCCCATGTAAGGCAATAGTAGGAGTTTTAGCATTAAACAGTGTTATCTGACCTCACAGAACCTAGTTTCTTCATACCAATCTTTTGACCAGAGCTGAGGAAGGAAAAAAAAAAAGCCTTGCAATCAGTGGGCAATTAATTGTTCCTCAAAACATTGGTCTAAATCCCATCCTGTAAACACAGGCAGGTTAGTGACCCATGCTTAGGCACGCTGTAGCAAGAAACTGACTATCATAAATGACTTGGATTTTCTCAAGGAATTTCATTAAATACAAGTAAAAAAAAATACCACTGCAACATTTCTTTTATTAACTTCATGGTAATTAAAAACTTGGGCTTCTTTGTATCAGTTTCAATGTCAGGCATATCATCACCATGGTTCAAACCACTGCCAATAATGAGAAATAATCTTTCTTGGCCCAGGTGCTCTGAATTCCAGATCTGACTTATCTGCCAACCATTTTATTGTACAAAGCTGGCACACACACCTTAGTCTGCTGAACTGGCATTTAAAGAGAAAACTATACATCACTTACAAAAATGCTAGCTCTCGCCAATGCCAAGGAACAAATCTGTACCCCATGCAGTTTTTACACTACAGTTGAAAGTAAAAAATATAGAAAGAAAAACATTTGATTAGTGAAGGAGCTATTTCCTCAAATTTCATCAGACCCTTGCGATTTAAAAGGGAGAGTATTTTGAGGACTGAAAATAAGTCAGAATCTGCAATTTTCTTACTCTGGAACTGTTCCACTTCAAAAACATGCTCTACTTTGCAGTCACACATAAAGAGTAATCTAGTTCTTTGTTTCACCACAGTTTTGTCCAAATACAGGTTTGATTAACAGTCATCTCAGCGTGTTAACAGACAAGGTTTAGTAGCTCTAGCTGAGATAAGTTTAAAAACTTACCACCCCCAAATGTCTGTCCTATTCCTCTGCTGGAGATCACTGCTGCCAAAGGAGAGCTGGTGGAATGTAACGTGTACTTGCACCTCATCCGCTTCAGCACAAAGTCTGGCAGCTTCACTTAAAAACAACTTTCAGCAGCAGTTTAAGCTAAGCTGCTCAACTTCACCCTGATGTGGCCAAGACACACGATCACCCTCCATTTTCTGATTCTGCTGTGAGAGTGATAAATTCCAGCAAAAGGGCAGTAACAAATAGCTTGGGTTGCATTAATATCTTAAACTGCCGCAGATGTTTTCTAAAACAATGTGTGGTAAATAATTCAATTTCTAAGGCTTGTTCTTGCAGTTAATTAACAGAACTTGTGCTGCTAATTTGAAGGGGACCAAGAATTCCATCCGCTTTTCACAAGAGCTTCTGCCAGTCATCAAAGCTCAAAAGTCATGAGTCAAGCCCCACAAATTCATACAAGTTAAAATAATGTGTTTGGGATTCCTATTACTTATTTCTAACCACCTGTGAGTTACTTCTAAGATCTTCCTAGTGACTGTGACAATTACAAGTGATTTTAAACACAAGAAATACAATCTTCAGGCATAAAATCAAAAGTGCTAGAAATAATTTTTAAAGAGTATTCTCAATATTACACAATCAGTAATAATGAACAAATACATAATAAAATATCATTCACATATAGCATTTCACTGTTGGCAGTTACACAAACTCATTATTTTGTCTTATATTTTGTTGTCACCTAGACTGAATGAAGACATCTGATGTTCTCTGACAAACATATTCAAGCAGCAACCTTCTAATTTTTCAAAATGAAGAAATCTTACATTACACAAAATATGGAAAATTCAAAGTTATAATCTAATGTGTAAATAGTGCACATTTGTAAAAACTAAAATGTATTTTACTCTTTAAACAAAGATTAAATCCCAGTCAACACTTGCATTCTTACTGATTTAAGGATGAGTCACACTTACTATTGTATTGGTTTTATTTGTTTCTTTACAGCATTTATCTAGCATCCACCTATCTATCTATCTACTTTTATAGTCCAACAGCTAGAGTATTAAACGCATAAAAATTTTACGGAACACATTCACATAACTGTTCCACAATTTCAGGAAGCCCTGTGCCCATTTTACAGATGGAAAGGAAAAAAAAAACCCCACCATCACACTAGGGGACTGTACCTGTCATAAAAAAAAAGTCTGTAGTAAAGCAGAAACCTAGTAATGGCAACACCATCTAACATCACCTCCTTCCAGCCAAGAGATCAGCTCCATGACTTGGGGAAACCATCGACACATTACTTCAGTTAGGCTTCTCCACTGCAGACTAACAAATTTCTCTCAAGAAACGTCCTTCTATTCATCTCCCTGAGGATATGAAGGTTAAAGTTTTCCTTCTTCAGTTTATGCATAGACTTTCCCTTTTCTGTCTTAGGAAGTGACCAGGGTATTTGGTTCCATACAACAACGAGCCTTAAGATACAGCTGACAGACAGACACTCCAACACAATTCCCATTGGTTTCTCACTGACTTAAATCTGGGCAATTCCTACAGCGCACTCAAAATAGCACTCTCAAAGGAAGCAAACGTTTTACTGGTAACAAAGAACCACTGCTTGTTCAGAGCAGATTGAAACTATGCTCGATTAGCAGAACTTTGCAAAGTCAGGCAGTTGCTTTCCAGCTCTCACTCTTCAGCCACACGCACAGCTCAGCACCATGTTGTAACTTCTGCTGTACCTGCATGGCGACAATGAAATTTCTTTTCTGTCCAACTCCATTTGCTGGCTTTGCTTCTCTGTTTCTTCTTCTGTTGTTTTTTGTTGATGTTCTTGGTTTTCATGGGGTTTTTTACCTTTTTTTTAATCACTACAGCTTGGCTTCACATTAACAGTAACGTGTGGGCCACAGTGAGTATTTAACTTATGCATATTAACTATTTATAGGGTACTGCTACTGCAATTTGAGTAGTATCAACTTTGTCTGATCCACATACTGCACATTTGATTGATCCGCTCAACAAAACTAAAAACTGTAACTACATTAGGGGAGGAGGAAGCCTACTTAAAGCTGATACTAATTTGAAACAGAAAGTTATGTACTCTTGAGTCATGGCTCTATAGAGGTTCTTACTTTAAAAACAACCTAAAAATAGACATTTTCTTTAGAAAGCTACAATTTTTATATAACCCCACTTATCTTATTCTTTTTTTAATTTAAGGTATTTGCATACCTATGTACAAGCTTACACTCAAGTTACTAGAACACAACACAGAGGGGTCTAAGACTGATGTTCCAGTGCTAGCTAAACATCCAAAGAAAGATTAAAGAACTCTATGTGATGAATTATTTACATACAAAGAATTGTAAAGCTCAGAACAATAGATGGATGGTGCCTTAGTAGGAAAAGATCATTGAAAAGACATACTCAATATTTCTCTACCTATAAATTACAGCTTTTTGAAGCTCCTTAGCTTTGTTTGTTAGGTATACACTGTAAGTATATTTTACCATTTTACTGTTTGCAATATAGTTTTCTAGTTTACCACTTCAACGCAGACTGTAAACACTACTGCCGCAAAACACTTTCAGAAATTAAATATTCATTGTATATTTCAAAAAGCAGGAGACCAAGCTGGATGTAAGAAATGTTTTGCCTTTTTTTTAAAATAAACTTTCTGACTTATTTTGTGGTACTTGTTTAATGTTGGTAGTCACTAGCAGTTCCAGATTATTACACCACTAGAACAGCCACCTTTTGGTTCAAGAAGTAAATTTAAAATAAACATATTGTAATCTCAAACATCATTATATAGTAAGGGTTTCCTCAGTAGTATCATCTTTGTTTTTGAGGTTTCTGAAACTCGGTTTGTATAAAACCTTTTTGGTTTAAATCTATGCACACAGTCTTACTGGCAGGAAAATCATTTCTAGAAGCAGGAATCAGGAAGGAGGAGGTGGTAAGGGAAAAGGGGTCATATTAGAAAACTTCTTGCTTTTTTATTTGAACAATTAACACAGTACTTGATCTCCTGACTTTCACTGATAAAAACTAAGTGGCTTCCAACTCTGGTAGGTACAGTTAAGAAAGTACTCATATTTTAATTAATACAGTTACAGTTCAAATTTCTAAAACCAGCAAAAACATCTTTTCCCAATTAATTTGTAAGGTTTTAAAACAATGTTCTCATTAGAGCCATTTTGCATAGAGCAATTACATGAACTGCAACAAAGCTCTGCTACAGTTCAGAGCAGGACACGAGCAGGATTTTGCCATGTGTTCACAGTTAAACCACTATATCCACATCCCTAACTCACTGCTAACGTAAGAGAACAGCGGACAGCCTTCTTGACAACCTTCCCACCTATTGCTAGGAAACATTCTCCCCTCTCTCAGCCCTTTCTTACTGCAGAGGAAATGGCAGAAAATCCCCAAGACAACACAACGCAAAGAACAAAACACAAAGCGCAAGGACAGAAACTATGCAGCTCCTTCAGGGTGAGATTATTTGGGACCAGTACAGTAAGAAAAAATAATTGCAGATGCTAGTGAGCCATAATAGCTACCCAAAGGCATCATTCCACAGGTCTGCCTGCTGTTGACCAGAATAGGATTCATTTCTCATTCGAACATCAGAATAACATGGGAAACAGTGACCTTACAAAATCAATATTCCTTCCCCGAGGCAGACAGTCACTACTGAGGTCCTGTATTATACAGGCCTATAATGAAGACTAAAATCTGAGATTAATCAAACACAGGATTTAACACAGTTAATTCCTGACTCTCTGACTGACAAATAATATTTTTCCCTGTATGACCACAGTGAAGACTGATTTAGAACATTTCCACTCGCAGAAGCTTATGCCTTCTATCAATTGAATTTCTACTGTTCTAAAATTAAATTTGTTTTTAAATATGCAAAGAATTATAAAAGAACAATTGTCATAAAAGCTGTATCTGACATCAATGAACATATTTAATGTATATATGAGTATCTTCCACGCTACCTGTATATGAATACATATAGAGAGGTCTAAACGAATTTTAAGTACTTCTTTTTAAAAAAAAAAAAAGCTCTCAAACTAAAGTTTTTCCTGATTTTTTGAACATACATTTTCTTGTTTCAGCAACTTTATCATGATGGATAAATAAAGAATTATTATATTAAAAAAAGCTGTTGTAAAAGTAAATAACTGCCTTCAGAACAACCGATGCAGCTTGCTTTAAAGGACAGTTCTTAATTTGCAATGACTTTTGGTTTTAATACTAAATCAAATGCTAATAAAAAACATATATTTGTGGAAAATCACCTGTGATTGTTCCAATTCTGCTTTGTTTAATTTGATGCCAAGTATGTCAGCAGCAATTCTCTGAAAACACAGGAAGACCTATGGAAAAAAATTAAATCGCACTTAAATGATTAAAAACAGACATCCTTGAGGTTCCTTCAAATATTTCAAACCATGCCTGAACTGTAAACAGTGAGATACACAAAATTATGACCTGTGCAAAACAGATCTGAAAATAACCTCATCTGGTACATTCAATTTTGTTTAAAAATCAGAGAATATAACTCAACAATGGTACAAGGAATGAACAGTACGCTGGATTGTTAAGCAACACTTCTACTCTGCCTCCAGAGACTTAAGTTTATACAACCCACCTCTCAAATACTACTCTCAGTGCTATAAAATATGAATAAGGGTATTCACTAATGTTTAGCACAAAAATATATTACCAGCGTATTGTGCAATAGAGATGTAGGTTTCTGAAATTGAGAACAACAGGACTCTGCAGCAACATCACCCAAATCTCTATCGCAAACGTTAAAAAAACCCCGAAACATTAGCAATATGAAAGCCAAGCAATGATACATTTGTTCTGAAGAGTCTTATGGGTGTTGCTCTGAACAGAACTATCTAGGAAACAAGTAAGATGCTGTACGGCACGCAGCAGCCTGGCAGAGTTAGATTTTGGACATGGTTTGACACATAACATTGGGCGGCAATGCTATCTTAAGTAACTCCGTAACTCTCAATCCAGCCCACCAATCTTGCTGTTTAGGCAGCTGCATTTTAAATGAGATTAAATAATACAACAGATGTTAAAGAGGAGCAGCTTAAGCTTGCACTGCTGCTGAACACCGTATTGTCAAGCTACACGTTATATTGGTTATTTGACTGAGCTCACAATCTAAACTAGTAACAAACATTGCTTTTCATCATGGAGATGCCACCCCCAACAGGTAAGGTCTGTGTAAGTGCTTTTAGTCATTTTCAATGAAAATTTAAAAAGACAATCATTTACACAATCTTTCCTACACCTGAGATGGAAATCAGAATGAATTAGTGGCACGACCAACAAACCACAGTAGCTTCCAAGATAACTTCTCCTTCTCTGAACTACTTGGTCTAGTACTGGTCTATTCTACTAGCATCCACACAGGAAGAAAGGATATCCTGAACAGGTTACCTTTTCCAGAGAACTACTTTGACCCACACCAGGCTCGCAGGTGTACTGAGCTAGATGACCTGCCGTGAGGATGCTTTGTGCACAAAACATCCGGCACAAGTTCAGTGCTTTAGTTATGCAATTTGATGGACAGTAAAACTGTTAGCTATACTAAATCTTTCATGAAGTTTTTTTCTCCCCGAGGAGACTTTCGGGCTTTTCTATCTACATGAAATTATCTTTTGCAAGTGAGTCTGTCGGAAAGATCCAAGGTAAACAAAACAAATCACTTCATTTATCTTAACTGAGTATTTAAGACTCCTCTAGTCTATATCCACAGTAGCAACAGATGGCCTCTTCTTAAATCACTATCTAGGGTAAACACCCTGTCTTTCCTGCACAACTACCCAATTGCATGAAGGTTCTGAAAGGCCAGTGTGCAGTAACAGTCAAAGGGTTAATCTGAATCTATACTGAAACTAAAAATCAAAGACTGTAAACTATACCTCATACCTTCTTTTGTTAGTAGATATTTAAACAGGCTTTTCTGGTTAATGCTTTCTACGTTGTTCAGATTTACTTTTGTTTTTAAACAGTAAGTTAAAAAAAGTACAATCTATACATATAGTAGGATGCTGATTAAATTCATGAATCAATCAAAAAGACATAATAAAGATTCCTTCATAATTTGTAACGTTAAATATATCAACCTTATAAAAAGAACTGATTTTTCTTCCTATTACCAAATCCCAGAAAAACGTTGTCTCCTTGAGAAAGTAATACATTTTATCAGATGTGCACTTCATTGAGTGAAGTATTATAAAATTTTCTTTTGTTTCTAGCATAAAAAGCTTGATTTTTTCACACTTTAAACAAAAAATTATGCCAAAGATTTAACACAAACTATAAGGAGAATCAGGACTCACTGCATTTCTAAAAGCAGTATTGTTAGACTTCACAGAAAAACTGTTATCTTATAAATTACAGTCCACTGTAGAAGTTTCATCACAGACTTTAAAAGAACAATTGATTCCATTTGTGTTACAGATTTATACTTCTATATAATTGAACATGGTCTTACCATTCAATAACAAAGTAAATTGTGCTGTCATAAGTAACATTTAGGAGACAGATATAGGACTGTTTTATGGGAATGACAAAGTCATTAGGCATGTGACAGAAATCAAGCAAAACAATACAACGTGATTTAACTTGACCGATACAGTCAACCAAGAAAGAACTTTTTCTTACATACGCTTCCAACTAAAACAAATAATCCAGTTAGCTCAGAGTCAAAAGATTGTTCAAAAACATGTTCTGCAAAGAATTACAAATACCAGAATGTTCAAATTTCAATGGACCTGCAGAGGGAGTGTCTCTCATGGCTCAGGACGCATATTAAAAACTTTAATTGCAACAGGGTCTTGTGACATTATCAACTGTTGAAAGTTTCTGTATTGATGGTCTATAGGTGGGACTCCGCCTGGAATGAAGGAATACATTTAACTACAGGCTGACTGCAAACAGAGATCCAGCTGGTCTCACTTCTCATGCTGATGTATAAGCTAGACCATTTCTATATTAAAGTCTATACTTCAAACTGTAAATCAGATGAGAAGCCACTGTAATGAATAAAGATACATACACTCACACAAAGATCTATTTCTCATGCAACCAGGCAAGCAAAAAGGACCTGAAGCAGCCAAAGTTCTCAATGGTTTGATATGTGAAGTACAATAAAACTGCTACATATTTAAAAAAAAAAAAAAAAAACAACCAAAATACTTCTAAAAGGATTTTATTTTTCTTACTTACCGAATCTCCTGTCTTGGCTGACACAAAATGGCTACTGAAATTGTTTTCCTGACAAAATCGCTGGTGCTTGTCAACTTTCACTGTGCGCATATGCTCCAAGTCAACTAAAAATAAGTTGAAGAAAGGAAAAATTACCACAACGGAGCCCATTTAGTTACCTGTCTTAGAAATTATTCATATTCATTGGAAACACATCAGATGCAATCTTTTTCTTTAAAGGTGTATGCAAATGCAAGTTTCTTTCTTTTTGTAACCATTTGCCAAAATAAAAATAATGAAATAAATCAGATTAATTTTATTTGCAAAACTAAAATGAAACCACAATTAAAATTGTACAGTCAAAAGCAACATATTCTTACCTGGAGGACAAATTTATTTCTGGATTCACACAAACAGTTTGTAACAACTTTACTGCTAACTACATACAAAAACCTGAGATAGAAATAAATTTTGCGTATTCTGTTTTCAGATGCGTATTGGAGATTCCAGTGTAATCTAAAGACTTTTACAAAACAGCGTTCAGCAAGCACATTTGAATCTACATATTTTTATTTACATTTTTTAATGTAAATGAGTTATAAAGTACTTTATTGCAGCACATGGTAGAGCAAAAACATTCACTATAATAAAAAATTAACTGATGCTAGTTACTTGTATATAAAGCTTTCAATTCCACAAAGGTATGGTTCAGAAAATTAAAAACAGTAAAATGCACATTTTGAGTCACACACATTTTCATTTTTATCGTTTTACAACCATTGGAAGCAGAGCAAAGCTTTCAAAACGTATTTTATGTTGAAAAGCACTGGTGCTTCCAAAACAACACAGAACTCAAGTCTTGCACAGGTTTTATTGTGTACATTCCAGTTTCTCCAAATCTGATCCTGAGGTAACTGGAAACTATATTGAACAGTTTCTCTTTTTATTGCATTACAGTTCCTATAAGGGTGTTGACTCAATGCCGTCAAATTATAAGGCAAATATATTCAGAAGGATTTAAGGACAACCAGGCTCTTTGAGTCAATACAGGAAAAAAAAACTTAAACTGATTTCCTGAGGAAGGGACCCAACTGACTTGTAAAAACTTGTAAATTTGCAAATCTAGTAAGCCTGCATAATAGTGTCATTTGATTATCAGCTGAAAAAATGCTCTCCTACTACATAAAAGGCTTTATTTTAAAATGATATTGGAGGTCTTTAATTTGTAGGCTCTGGAGATTTTCTCTTGGAGATTTTTAGTCTAACAGGGGATTCCTACACCCCATTTATACTGCTTACCTTGGTTAATGTGGAGTTTTTGCCACCTATTACTGTACCTTGCACATCAGTAAGGCCTTGTTTATAAGAACAGGCCTAAAATCATCCAGTTACCACAGGCATTAATTTGTGAAGGACTAAAATACTAAGCTATTAACACTAATGTTTGTAGTACACTTTTTCACAATATTAAATGTAGAATGTACAGTTTCATAAAAAATATGAAGAACAAATACATTTACTAAGATAAAACCCAAATTCGGTAATTTTTTTTAAAAACTCATGCAGTCTACCTAACAGCTACTTAACTTTTTTCTCTGAAAAATAACTACCAGAAGAAAGCCTCTGCTGAAACACTTTTAAGAATAAAATACAGCATACTGCCTAAACCATATCATTATTAACTATTATTTTTACTCTTCACATATTAGCTTTAAGTGCAGCTTAGAAAACACAATGAGACTACTCTTTTGTGAAAAATAAATATTTTTTTCTTTACTTTTATTTGATGAGCTCTTAAAGGAACCTTAACCCCCCCCTCCAAATTTCACTCACTGTATTTCTTCAGCTATACCCATATGCCAAAAACCTACACACAATTACAATAAAAATAAATAAATAGACAGCATTGACATTGTATCCCCCTAAAACACCATGACATGCTTATGTAAGTCCACAGAGACAAGCTCACAAGTTACAATCTCTCCCAAACTCTCTTTCCCAGGAAGGAAAAATAGGGAAAGGAAGAACACAACAGCATGCCAAAAGGTTGATGAATTTTCATGAAGAAAATGCCACTGCCATACTGGAAATCATATCCTCAAATGCCTCCTATTTTCTAGCTGAAGAAAAATCAAGAATAGTATCTGGCCAGCGGAGCAAATACTTTATTGCAGTAGAGAAAATAAAAGCACACAAGATCCTAGAATCTAACAGACTGGAAGTGAAAATCAAGGTGAAATTATGTTTCTGAACGTTGTGTAATTCTCAGTCCCTCTCCCCACTTAGTATTTCACCTTGTGCCTGCTGAATTATGGGCAGTCTGCTGTGAACTGTACAGTTACTGTTATGCTAGATAACTGCCAGGTAACTGTCCATGCGCACACTCTCAGCCCGCAGTAAATGCAAGGCAATTCATGTTACATTAGCTCTCAATGAAAGAGGGCACAGTTTTAGTACAAGAAAAGGGTTTCAAGTGTTAATAAATATTTAACTATACAAAGCTGCAGTTTGCAGTCAATGAAAGAGGACTATGCTAACTCAAACTACTTTGCATCGCCACAGGCTAAGGGCACAATCAGAGACCGTTACTGAAGATCAGCTAAAATACAGCGAATAGTTACCCTCCAGTCCTTTCTGGTTTTGAACATCTAACGTTGGTCAGCTCAACAGGCAGAATTCTTAGCACACCAGGAGGTAAGTCTTGTCCAGCTTTTATTTAGACATCACAGCAAAAAGACTTTAAGGAGGGTTTTGGAAGAGAAAAATGATTTTCTAGAAAGATGTTTATAAGGAATGCAGGGACTTTATAGAAAGAAAACTAACAGCTGGCCAATGTGGGCTCCTATGATGAGCCAATTAACAGCAGGAATAGATATCTTGGGATGAAGGATGATACTAAAATGCACTTAAGCTGTGAAAAGTTTAAAGGCAAAGACAAATAAGTTTTGGACAGAAAGACAGAGAATCAGATACATAAATATAGTTTGATTTTACAAACCAGGAAAATATTTTGCAGAATATTCTAAATGACTAGATAACATTGCATTGGCCAAGAAAAAGGAATTATTGAAATTAAGATGCAAAATAAGAACATTTTAACTGTGATAATGGTTATGATAGGCCATATCTAACAAAGGTCTCAAAGAAAGAATCTGCAAGATTTGGATACACGTTAAACACAAACATTTAGAGAAAGGCCCAAAGTGAAGTTTACATGCCAGATGGTACAGTCATCCTCCTCATCTGAAGTGAATGAGAAAGAAGACAAGGGCAGTGGAAAAGGGAAAATTAATAGCTCCATTTTTACCAAGCAGAACATAAACTGATTGCTAGACATTCACAAAGGGATGTCTAAAGGAGACATAAGGATTTTACTTTGAAGAGTGAAAAGAGATTTAACTATTTTCAAACAGTGAGTCCCTAAGGCACACAAACATTACAAACCAGTACTTTGGGTTAAGTGCTTGAATACAAACTCTGCTATCTACATTAATAAATTATGTTTTCTGATCATGAAAACTAAAAGCAACCCCAAGATGTGTAAATTTTACAGAATGAAGTGAGAGTATTTCTTTTGATCTATTATTTCTAAAAGTCTAAAGGTCTTAAAAATGGGACCAACAGGGAAGAATGACAGTTAAAAGTATAAGTTCGCAAAGTAATAGTTAAAATGTCAAAGGAGTACATTGCTAATTCTTTGACTATACAGGAACCACGTAGTATATTTGCATTAAATGGAATACTTAAATAACACATATGAAAACTGACATCACGAGAAGCAGAAGGACATCACAAGCAATGGGGGAGAGAGAGACAGGTCATAGTATTGTTTCCTTGATTGTCCTGATGAGGACAGAAAGAGGGACTCATCAGCCTCCAAAATCATTTTGAAGTCCACAATACGGGCTGCTGCAGCTTGCTCACATTTTACGCCTGAAATACATACTAAAAAGCTTGTGCAAACAACTACAAAAAAAACACCCACGGTTGCCAGATATTCTCCAAAAGTTATCCCCATTGCCTTACTTTTCCTCTCTTAAAAAACCTATTTCTAACTAAATAGTCAAGAGCCCAACATTTTGTTTCCCTGGAATAAAACTAAACATTCACCTTTAAGCTTGTCTAGTGTGAAGAGTCATTTCAATTAAAGCTAGCAAAATAAATTGCTGCTCCATAACCAACAGATCTATACATGTTTGTATGTAGAGGTATCCCATAAAGATACTGGCACAATAAAAACAGAATTTCAGGAACTTCAGTAATTCAGACATGACTTCTACCAAGCCAGACAGATCCAAGTGAAATCTCCCCTCGAAGAGGACACTAGCATAGATCAGTGTCTGCTCTAGCAAAAGTAGGTAAGACTTACCAAAATACTTGCTTCTCATGAACTCTGGAGAGTTCAATTTTGATTTGTAGATAAGACTAAACAGAGACCTACTGAGATGAAAAAAGAAAACAGAATCTAGAGAGAAGAACGGAACTCCCAC